AAGTACCCTATTGCTAAGATCGCTTCAGAGAAAGGTCTTTGCAATAATAAGGCATCTGCTTCAGGGATATGTTCCGCTATCTCGGTGACATCTGTTGCAAACCGATAATCCTGTTTTATAGCGCACACTGGCTTCTCCACATTAGTTGATTCTCCCCCTTTAGTTTTGAATTTTATTTTATTTCTACAGTCAGGAAAAATAAAAATGTTCAAGCCTCCATTGAACTTAAGCTCCATGCTTAACGCATGGAGACCTGGCCTCCAGCATCCATTCGTCAACCTCAGAAAGAACATTTATAGGGGAATCCTATCACCGTTGACTCAGAAATGAGTGCCGTTGAATTAAATGGGGCTGAATCACAGAAAAGCTGCTGTCTTATTCTCCAACAGACCTCTCCTGTCTTTGTAAATAAGATGTAACCATTGTGTGATAATAAGCAAATGATATAAAGCTGGTCTTGGTCTCACTTGCATGCTACCTGGAAATATGAACTAGCTGAAAGAGGCAACCCCATACCATTATGCAGGGGGGCAATCTCTATAACGTATTTAAAGTAATTGCTAATCCTGCCCCCCAAATATTACTCATTTCCAGTATGTCAGTGATTTCACTTAGGGCAAGCCCTTCCAAGGCATCTCATGTACATTGTTAAAAACACAGGGTGGTAAACAACACCACACCTGCTCAGAGTAGACCCATTGAAGTTAATAGATATTACCAACTTAGGTTCATTCTGTTATGTATTAAGATTAGTGGCAGTTCTCACTCAGGGCCACCGGTATGTAAATGAAGGATTGAAAACTGTCGCTCCTGATTGATTGATTGATTGATTGGTTGGTTAGCTAGTTGTGAGTTGTTACTGTTTCAAGTTACTTAGTGTTATATAAAGTAGCCAGCCAGGTTGCAGTCAGTCTGATTCCAGGAGCAGTTCTAACTGCTGCAATAAAGAGCTGTGAATCCAACAGAGCTGTGTCCTTCGTCCATCTTTCCCATTATTCAACACATTCACTTCAATGGGTCTACTCCGAGTAGGATATAGTTGAATACAACCCATTACAATTTAAACAGTATCTTCACCATTTTTTACAAGAGGATAGAACCTGGATGAGTAGTTGGGGTCGGGTGCTCAAGCCTGAAAAGTTTCCATTCGCGTTCAACCTTTGTTGAAGCTGGTTGCTGTCTGTGAACTCTCTGGGCTCTGCACACGAGCGCTACAGCTTTTAGTTTATTAACTATCTCCGGCTGATTTTGGGGTATTTTCCCTTTTCCATCAGGGCAATGCCTTCTGAAAGTGTCCATCTAAAATGCTTAAATTGGTCTTCAATAAGTTCTTCCGGGGCATCGCAGAGTTTTCATTTCATACTTTTATTCATGCCCATCATTAGAAATTATACACCATTGTGCTGCAGTGAAAGAGAGAGCACTTAAAGGAAATGATAGATCTGACTTCTCGTGTGAAAATGGAAGGAGCTTGTCTGCTGCAAAAAAAAAAAAACCACACACAAAAACGTTCATTCCCAAGAAGACGTGTGTCTCCCCTTCATTTCTCTAAAGGCATGATTTGTCTAGACTTCCTCCACAAGAAATCAAGCTGAAACAACCAGATGAGGGATATAGAGATATCTTTCAGAGCAAGAGCTGGATAAGATTCCGCATGCCCCAGGGGCTCTGGGATCTTTCTCTAACCCAGAGAGTGGCTGGTTGTGCTGCAACATCAGGGCCCTTCCCAAGAGCTAACTGGATTAGCCAGCTGACTTTGGTAGGGGTGCAGGGACTGGGAGTGGACCTGAGAGAGAATCTTCTCGCTCTGGTCTACTGCTAGAGCATAAACTGAATGCTCCTATGGGGCTGACTTCGGTAAGTATTGATGGGATAGCTCAGCTGGTAGAGCATGAGACTCTTGATCTTAGGATTCTAGGTTCAAGCCCCACATGGGGCATAATAATAATAATAATAATAATAATAATAATAATAATAATAATAATTTATTATTTGTACCCCGCCCATCTGCCTGGGTTTCCCCAGCCACTCTGGGCGGCTTCCAACAAAGATTAAAAATACATCAAAATGTCACACATTAAAAATTTCCCTGAACAGGGCTGCCTTAAGATGTCTTCTAAATGTCAGGCGTTCCACAGGGCGGGTGCCACTACCGAGAAGGCCCTCTGCCTGGTTCCCTGTAGCTTTGCTTCTCGCAGTGAGGGAACCGCCAGAAGGCTCTCAGCGCAGAACGATCAGGGTGGAGACACTCCTCCAGGTATACTGGGCTGAGGGCATTTAGGGCTTTAAAGGTCAACACCAACACTTTGAATTGTGCTCAGAAGATTCCTGGATTGCAGGAAGTTGGACTAGATGGCCCTCGTGGTTCCTTCCAGCTATACAATTCTATGTTTCTATAATACTGATACTACATGCCAGCATAGAACTCTCAGAAGGGAAAACGGAAGGGCCCCCCAACCCCACCCCACATACACACACAAAATGCTGACCAACAAACCTCAAAATTACCAAGCTGATTTCAAATCAAGCCAAAGAGCTTCACCCATCACTGATGTTTCCCAAAAATATTCACATATTTTAAGTGGGAAGTGCTCAGAAAAGGAAGGGGTTGCTGGTATGCCCTAATATTTTTCTCCAAGGGTCTTTAATTATGTTCAGATGAGACTCCAGACCCATTTGGTTTTCAGCAGCAGCTTCAGGAATAGGATCATTAATAGGCTGTTGGTATTCAGAGCCAACATTAAATCTAGCCAAGTGGTAGCCATTATGCAAATGCATTCCGCCTTTGCTTATCCTGGTCTGATGTGCAAATTGGCTGTTTCTCTGCACTTTTGAAGCTGCATTAATTATTCTAGAATATATACAAACAGCATATCTGATGGATTGCACCAAAGAGTTATAGGCAGCATTAAGGATCTGAACATTGTGAAAGATTTAAATTCACCTGTGCTCCTCAGAATGTGCAGAATGCAGGAGAAGAAGTGGGCGTGGGAGAAAAGGAAAATTCCCTTAACTAGAGACTCAGAATAATGATCTGCAGCAGTTGTCTAGAACTGTGAAAATACAAATCCCAGACCATGGAGGAGAGATGCAACATATGGACCATAGCTCAGTAGTAGAATACATGCTTTGCATGCCCCAGATTCAATGCTCAGCATCTCCAGGTAGAGTTGCCTGAAATCCCATCCTGAACTCCTTGAGGATTGCTGTTAGTTAGTTAAAAAATACTGAGCTAGTTGTATCAAGTTACTACAAGGCAGTTCTCAGCAATCCGATGCCCTCCAGTTGTTTTGGACTACAACTCCCATCAGCCAGGGCAACCGTAGAGTAACAAAGGAAATGGAGCCACTTCCCCTTTCACAATGCAAACAGTTTTCCCCATTCATTGACCTCTCTGATTTTCTGTGCATGTGCATTTGTACTCAGTTGCTCCACATTATGGGTTGTTGTTGTTTTCTGAGAAACTATTCTCCAGTAGCACTGTTACAATTTCCACTTACATCTGGGTTTTTGACAAAATTCAACAGCAGTCAAGAGTACCACATTGCCTGTTTGGGTGAATCCAGGTGGGAGTTTGGTTGATTCATGTTGAGCGTGCATCTCCCCATTCTGTACCTATACAGCCACAACTACATCCCACAATGCTCCCCTGTCTTTCCAGGTCATTAGCTTTGCAAGGTGGTGATGCTAGAAGGCCAATGTTCACAGCAGATATTGCACTGGGGCCTGTAAAAAGAGATACCCATATCCACTCTATTTACTTTCTCAGTTCCTGCCGTCTAGTGCAGGACAAGTACTGAGCCAACACTATGATAAGCTGCAAAGCTTTTTGTTTTATTTATTTTTAAAAAAAAATATTTAATTGACTACACCATGACTGTAATAAAAGATGAAGCAGAGGATGATTTATCTCTGCAACAGCTTTCACAATGTAGAACTATTGATTGTTGTATGTGAAAGAAATTTTCAATTAAATTTCTCATCCTCTAGCCTTGGCTGCTGATTTAGAAGAAATGGCTTCTCGTTCTGTTGATGAAACAGCTGTTTTTCAGCCAGCTGGAGCCTGAAGTTGCTGGCAAGAGTTCCCCAAACAGATAATCACAGTTCCGTGGCAGAGAGGTAGCATAATGTGGCTTTCCTCCATATTCACAGAATGGGGCTTTCTCAACACATCCTTCACTCTACAATACTCTGCGGCCCCTCATCTGCTCCTGGGGCTCTGGGTGCTTTGTATATGGAAGGGGGGCTCCAATGAATGCAGGAGGAACTTAAGATCCAATGATAGCCCTAGATCAGCACTCCTCCAACAACTTCAGCTCCGAAGAAGAAACGGACTCACTCCCTGGTCCATCCCATGTGAGGCCATGGGCCCCGGAATCTTGAGCTCCAAAAAGATGCTTCTGCTGTCAGATTTTGGTGGCTTGGCCACAGACTCTTAGGGAGATCAAGAGAACCCAGAGGAGAGATCATCACAGCTGGAAACCTTGAAGGATCCAGCAACTGCAGAAGGCCATGACACTTGAACCAGCAGCTTCCAGGCAATGGCTACCTAGCCATGCTCTAAAACTCAGCCAGTTGCTTCAGGAGCTCGCTGAGAAAAGTTGGGTGTCTATCTGTAGCAATCTCTGTGGTCTTGAGCATTCTCACCTTGAGCTCTCTCCAAGGTGCTGATTTTGACTAGGTTTACTTTTGCCTGGCGTGCTCTGGTTCATGGGGTCACGAAGAGTCGGACACGACTAAACGACTAAACAACAACAACTTTTTGGGGCCTGCCTGAGGAACGGAGAGCTACCAACCACTCCTTGCTAAGGCAATCGCCCCTCCATGGTGGGGGGCATCTCTGCAGACACATCCAAGTTTAAGAGTTCAAATCTCAGATTACTCTAAACTCACGAATGGGGGATTAGCCAAGCCTATGTCCCTATTCCGAGTAGGTAGTTTGATATTATTGGCCCACAGAGTCATTTAATGATTCCTGGGGAAGTGTTGGCAAAACACTTGGAGCAATCAGCAAATTGCTATAGAAATGCATATGATTTTTGTTGTTTTATCTCATACATACCAACAAAGCTGCAGATGAGCAATTAGAGTCCATGCAAACCAGCATTTTTAGTGCTGTGTACCTAGATTCAGAAATGTCTCTACCCGGTTTTCTCAGGGGAAAGCTGATTCAGGAATAAACTTCTTCTGCAGTTCTTCTAAAGTTCTATTGTCAAGCAGAAGGGCAGGATCAGAAAAGGAGAAAAGAAATCCCACATGAAAATTGTTAACCAGCACAGAGGGGGGAAAAGATGTTACCTAGTGGCATATTCGTTACAAGCATATATTGGTATTATACAAGTTTAGCTGCTTGGGATTCACCCCCCCCAAAAAATTGGGAACTGTAGTTTTGCAAGAGTGCTGAAGAATTCCTTATCAGATATTCCTACCCTCTCAGAATTATAGTTCCTCAGATTTCCTAGGGAGATGAAATTATTGTTAAACAAATTTAAGTCTGTGGTACACAGATATGCTATATCAGGCACCCCCAAACTCAGCCCTCCAGATGTTTTGGGACTACAATTCCCATCATCCCTGACCACTGGTCCTGTTAGCTAGGGATGGTGGGAGTTGTAGTCCCAAAACATCTGGAGGGCCGAGTTTGGGGGTGCCTGTAGCTGCTACGTCTTTCCCAGCCCTCTTGCCACTTCAGCTGTTAAGTGTTTACAGGGCAGAAGCAGGACTGAGTCAGCTGCAATTTGATACCAGCAGCAGTGCTAACCTGGCAGTCTGTCAATATGTGTAGGATCAGCCACAATCCTCATGCCCAGTATTCAGGAACCTAATTTTAGCTTTGTTGATTTTATACTAATGATTCCTACTCAAAGCCATATTTTTTATGGCTTAACCACAAGTCACACTTAAAGTAGTACTGTTGGCTTGTAAAGTAGGCTGTTTGTTCTCAGAATAACCTGTCAGTACTTCTAATGCTACTGAGGTCTTAGAATTTCCCTGCAAGTGTATTTGTACACAGTCACCCTGCTTCGTGGTTTTTGTAGTCTTAAGAGTGCAAACAGTCATTACCATGCATATGTATTTTTTTCACTAGCAATAAGAAAGTTAATAAATGGGTTTGAAATTAAGTTCCAACCGAGAGAGGAGATACTGTGGTTAAACAATTTAGGGGCCTTTCAAAGGGCAGGATTCTTGCATAGAAATAGGCTTTCCACTTACAAATGTTTCTTGAAATGTTACCACATTTCAAAAGCAGCACATGATACTCAAAATAGTGTGAGAGAGAAACCCTCTCATTTGGGGCATTTGGTTCACACCTAAGTCTTTTTAATGCCAGCCCAAATGGAGGGGGCAATTTAAACTCATGCCAATGAAAATTAACACAAATAACAAAAGTTTAAATCCAACCCAAAGCTGAATGATCCTTCACAACCTCATATTTTACTATCAAATCTTGAAATCCAAATCTCAAATTTCATTATTTAAAGATCAGCATTGTTACATACTGGTATGAAAATTGAGCATTTGAATATGACTTGTCCCCCAATGCAGGATGTATCTGCATAGAGGCAGCATAGCTTTGTGACTGCAGTTGCAAATCAACAAAGGGATGTTTTGGGTATTATTATTTTCTCTGGATCCTGATTCTGACGAAGTTTGAGTCGAGTTAACCTGAAGCGTTCTTCCATTTCTCTCCCTCTCCCGCTGCCCCTTGAATTTTCTGTGAGGCATTAATGATGCCCAAAAACCAGCCAAATCCCATCATCTTCCACATCTTAGTTGTTTAAGCCATCAAGCCACAGACCGAAAAGGAGCCACCTACAGCCACCTACCACCGTTTGGCCAAGCTGCAAAGCACGATAAAAATAGCACAGCAAATTTCAGTAATAAGAGATGCATGTAGCAGCAGGTGGGCCGGGGACTTATTTTGCCCTCAGCATCTTTGGCAGGGCTCTTGAAAATTAAACTGAAACATGAGCTACAACACGGTGTAGTAGTAAATACTAACCAGGAATAAACAATCCCGCAGCCTGCAGGAAAGTTTGACAGTCTTCTTGCAAAAGGTGTTCCTTGCTGTAAAAGATGTCCATATCAGAATGACTCTCTCTCATTTATTGCTCTAGTTATTCATTAAATTTATATTCCACCCTCCCTCCCAACAGAGCCCATGGTGGCAAACAAAGTGAGAAAACAATAAAACCGTATGAAAAGCAATTCTAATACAGATGAAGACCGAGGAAAACCTCAGCTTAAAAGGCCTGTTGGAAAAGGAAGGTTTTCAGTAAGTGCCCAAAAGACATCAGAATACAAGAAGGCAGGTTATAAACGTAATCATAAATCAACAACTCCTTAAAATCACTCAGGCTGCAATCCTATGCACACTTTCCTATTGAACTCAGCACGACTTGCTACTGAGTAGATGTGTGTGTAGCTCTGATCAATGACACACCACTAGGAGCTTCCTAAGAATACATTTCCACCAATTCCTATGGATCAGGGCAAGTGACATGGTTATCCTATCTTATGCACAGCATAGTAGCATGATGAGAACATTAAAAAAAACTTCCCTATACAAGGCTGCCTTCAGATGTCTTCTAAAAGTTGTATAGTCACTTATCTCCTTGGTTTGAGGGGATGCATAACTCCATACCCTCCACCATTTCTCCATTGAAAATAAAGGTAAAGGTAAAGGGACCCCTGACTGTTAGGTCCAGTCGTGACCGACTCTGGGGTTCCGGCGCTCATCTCGCTTTATTGGCCGAGGGAGCCAGCGTACAACTTCCGGGTCATGCGGCCAGCATGACTAAGCCGCTTCTGGCGAACCAGAGCAGCACACAGAAACACATTTTCCTTCCCGCTGGAGCGGTACCTATTTATCTACTTGCACTTTGACGTGGGGATTCGAACCGCCGACCTTCTGATCGGCAAGTCCTAGGCTCTGTGGTTTAACCCACAGCACCACCCATGTCCCTCCCACTGAAAATAGGGACGTCCTAAAGAAAAGCAGGACATTCCAGGATCATATAAGAAACAGGGACATCTTCTGTAAATTCAAGTCTGTCCCTGGAAAACAGGGACACTGGGAGGGTCTGCTGATTAAAAATTTAAACTGAAACTTTCCAGGTCCAAATCTTGCCCTATTATTTGTTTTATTTATTTGTTTTCATCATTTTTATACTGCCTCAATATTGTCCACCACCCAGAAGCTCTCCCCCCAAAAAAAGAAACAGGAAAAAGAAACTATTCAGGTATGTTATATTAATAACAAGTCTCTCTGGGATTATGGAGGTCATTTGGCCACACCAATTTTGAGATGCAACTCCCCAGAGGGTTGACCATGGGTCAATGTGTGTCTCTTGGCCTGAAAACGGTTACCCACCCCTTATATTAGGGGGACCAGATGCTGAGGTTTTCACTTTGAACCATATCAATACCCAAAACACAGAGCAAAATACAGATCTCAAAACAGCATCTGGCTGCTTCTCTTAAAAAATAAAATAAATAAACAACCCGCACCTGCTCTGGCTGCATCATTATACACCAGATTTGTTTTAATGCCTGCTAAATTATGTAAAATGAAGCCAATTAAGATATACAGTAGGAAAGATCTAGTTTGCATATCGCTCCGTCCAGAGTAGCTGGTGTGAGAGAGGCTTGGAAACTGGGAAGGATTAATTCGAATATATATATTTTCTTTTTTTATGAGCTGAAGCCATTGGGGGGGACAGACATGCATGCAGTAAAGCATAAGGAGCAGATAAGTACCAATGTATAAAGAGGGGTTGAGTCAAACACATTCTAGTGGTTTCATTGGGTCTTAGGCCCCATCTGCATTATATATTTTAAGCAGGATCATACCACTTTAATCAGTCATAGCGCTACCTAAAGAACTCTGAGGGCTGTAGTTTGTTAAGGATGCTGAGTACTGTTGGGAAACCCTCATAGAGCCACAATTCCTAAAGTTCCCTGGGAGGAAGGATTGATTGTTAAACAACTGGAAATTGTAGCTCTCTGAAGGCAATAAAGGTAAAGGTAAAGGGACCCTTGACCATTAGGTCCAGTCGTGACCGACTCTGGGTTGCGGTGCTCATCTCGCTTTATTGGCCGAGGGAGCCGGCGTACAGCTTCTGGGTCATGTGGCCAGCATGACTAAGCCGCTTCTGGCAAACCAGAGCAGTGCACGGAAACGGTGTTTACCTTCCCGCTGGAGCGGTACCTATTTATCTACTTGCACTTTTGATGTGCTTTCGAACTGCTAGGTTGGCAGGAGCAGGGACCGAGCAACAGGAGCTCACCCCGTCGCGGGGATTCAAACCGCCAACCTTCTGATCAGCAAGTCCTAGGCTCTGTGGTTTAACCCACAGCGCCACCCGCATCCCTCTCTCTGAAGGCAATAGGGGTCTCCTAACAGTTCTTGAGAAACTGCAGCTCTCAGGATTCTTTGGGTAGTATTCTATGGCAGCTTGCAAGTTGTATGACAATGCTTTAAATATATAGTGTTGATATCTAGAGATGGAACAAACCTATCCTCCTTGGGGTGAGCCAAGCTGGGTGTGGGTGTCAATAGCCCTTATTACAATTACATTTCCCAGGGCTGCTCACTGGCGGGTCACATGGCAAAGCACCAGTCATAAGTGGAGACATTTTGCAGCCTTCTCTCCTTCTTCCTGCTTGCTGCTCGAATGGCAGCAGTGGTCAAGTGTGTAAGTGGAAGGCAGGGACATCCTGAGTTGGAAGAAAGAGCTTGGGGTTGAATAGATAAAGGAGGTTGTGTGTTGCATATGTGTGGCGGAAGACAGAATACTTCTCCAGCTCATGGGTTAGGGTTAGGCCCGTAAAATAATGATGACAGCTTGCATCAACCTGGTATCCTCCTGGTGTTTTCGACTACAACTCCCATCAGCCCCAGGATGGTGTACTGGCTGGGGATGATCTTGAGGGCACTAGGTTGGCAACGGTTAAATTATGAGGTCATCATGCTTGGATCATATCTGAGGCTGCATTACAAGCTTCCAAGGTTCATATTTCTGAGGTACTTTTCTTCGGTGACTTCACTAGGAAATACATGTTTCAGTGGCACCCGTACTCATGATGAACTCTGGCTTAGTTGGGGCCAAATATCAGTTTTCAGCATTGCTTGACTATAGGCCTGATGAATTCATATATAGTGCTGTAAACATCTCATTGTAACGTTGTGTTGACTAATTGTCCCCTCCTAATACAAAGTGGAAATGGCATCCCCCATGGGGTGTAACTTCGGACCAAGATGTTCAAGCTAGCTTCTCTCACTTCAAATCCACAATTTACTGCCCCTGGACAGTCTTGGTTCTCCAGAGAAGCTTGGTTCTCCAGAGATTTCTTGGCATCCTACGCCATTCCCATATAGTCCTATGCAGTATATCAATATACTGGATGCTCTGGGTCTTTTCTGATTTACAGTTTATTATCTAGAACAGGCAGGCGGATGTGTGGGGAATTTGGAAGAATATTGTTCCCCCTCCCCCATTTAGTCCTCTACAGTGTCAGCTGGGTGGTTTTGGAATGCTCGGAACTTGGCATTCTGGGCTGGGTTTGTTTTTCTCTTCATGGGGCAGTGGATTGTTGGGACATTTGGACCGGGTTAATTCCGTCATGTTCTGCACAGAACCTTGCAATCAGGTTTTTCTAGAGGTTGTTAAAAACAACATTGTGGTTTGCTGCCTGATTACTATGAATGAATAGATCACCATAATTTGGTTAAGGCTTAGAGAGTGATGTGAGCTTCAAGTCTGGGACAAAAGAACAATGATCTGCTACTTAGCAGCTGTGGATGATCCAGGAATGAACAGAGGTGTCTTCCAAATTCACGCCCAACCAGCTACTCCCTCCAGGGCCGGCCCAAGACATTTTGGCATCTGAGGCAGACCCCAAAATGGCGCTCCCCTCCCTACTGCGGAAGAAGGGGTGAGGGAAGATCTACATCTGGAACAAAGGTGGAAGAAAAATTGACAATGGGATCTGCTGCCTTTGTGGATGCTGCCACCTGAGGCAGTCATCTCAACTTACCTCATGCATGGGCCAGCCCTGCTCCCCTCTAATCCCCACCCTCTTCCTCTCCCTGTTTCAAAGATCAAGTGTATAAATTTCCTACCCACCTTCCTAGGCTCCCTTCAACTCCCCACTCTCCCTTACCTTAACATTCCCTGCTTCCAGTAAGTTACCTTCTTCCCTCTCCTTCCTTACTGAACACAATCCCCAAACAGTGCATTGCATTACTCATTGCAGCACACAGTTCATTTGCCCAGGATTTTTAAGATGTTGAGATTTATACAGTTTAATCTAGGACTTTGGTTTTCATCTTTGCTGCTGCGATTTTATATTATTTTATGTTTTTAATTTTGCTAGCCACTCCTCAAGGTTTCTTTTCTACCCAAAGAGCTGGACAGAGATTTGTTAAGCAAATAAAATAACAATGGTTGATATGGGGAATATAGTAATGAAGCGTTTTGCTGCATGCTGCCCTTTCCTAACATATTGATCTTAAATGCTTTTTTGCACCTCCGGGTTTCCTACCCTGAAATGTTCAGTTACAGATAGGTAGCCGTGTTGGTCTGCCATAGTCAAAACAAAAAAAATTCCTTCCAGTAGCACCTTAAAGACCAACTAAGTTAGTTCTTGGTATGAGCTTTCGTGTGCATGCGCGCTTCTTCAGATACCACTTCTTCAGGTATCTGAAGAAGTGTGCATGCACACGAAAGCTCATACCAAGAACTAACTTAGTTGGTCTTTAAGGTGCTACTGGAAGGAATTTTTTTTGTTCTGAAATGTTCAGTTATTGTTCAGACAGGATCTCCCCCAAAAAGAGAAATCAAGGACCCAGAATTGAGGGGTGTTGAATTCCCAGTGGTGTCTAATGCCCATTGGGTAGAAAGCAGGGAATAATCAATGGTCAGTGGGGCTAGAGCCAATGTAAGGCACAGCCAACTCGTTTTAGTTTTGTCCTCAACCTTTTCCATGCTGAGATCTGCAAGGGGAACTGTAAGACTAAGGAGGAGAAATGCTACCCCTTGGACTAGGTGCAAGTAAGAAAGCAGGCTAGACAAAGCTGCCTGGGGTTTGTTGGGCAGTGCCCCTGTCCCTCCAATGGACTATTCTCCACTCTGCATTGCTTTCAGATGAGACAACTTCTGCCTTCTCATACAGATAATATTAAGTATGAGGTTTTTTGGAGGGAAGGCTGTATGCCCGAGCCCCCTTCTAATCCCTGGATCAGGAGGGTTTGGTGCCAACCTTTGGCCTTCATTTCATTACCTTTGTGTGTAATGTGGTTCCTCTCATAACCATCAGGAGTACACAAGGTAGGCTTTGTGCCACTCTGAACCGATTCACCTACTGTGGAGATATATATATACTACTGCTGGTAACTTTATAGTTCTGCTTTCATTGGTCCAATAGCTGTGGCCATCTTTCGTTACAGCTCATAAAATCACTAAGTGCTCATCCACACTTTCGCCTGACCCATATTTTGATCGTATCACGTTCCTATTAATTCCCCAAGAGCTCCCAGAGCTTTTCTTGTTGTTCCGTGGCTGAGCCTTGGGAAGATCAAATCTTACCTGCTAAATTGAAGCTCGTTTAAGCAAAATATCTCTTCAGATTTTCCGTCCGTCTGATAAGATCCGATTCAGTGGAACTTCCAAAAAGCAATGCAACTTCAGTCACCCAACAGTAATATAGGGATAATGCTGATCTAGCCGACAAGATTGTTGTAAGGATTACAAGTTAAAAATACTTCTGAGCTAAGGCTATAGCTCAATTTTTAAAAATGTGAATCGTGTGAGTTAGAGTTGATTGATAGATATTCTGGTTGAATTTACATCTGTTTCTGAAGCAAGAAGTATACTTCCTTTGTTCTTAGATGAGAAGGTATCATCACAGGCATTTTCTTAGAAGAGATATTCTAGTCTTTCCTGTGTGAGAGAGAGAAAAAATGGAGGTACCCTTTTTAAGATGGTGGCTGCCAGTTAAAGCTTTTAGAAGCACTTCTGTTAATATTACTTTATTTTTAAAAATCTGCCCTTTTAACCCATTTTAAATCAACAAATCTAATGAATTAGAATAGTTAAACATTGTAGTGTATTTGTCTCTCTCTCTCTCTCTCTCTCTGTGTGTGTGTATGTGTGTGTGTGTTATTACTCACAGCATTAGCTCTTCCCAGAGGAAGGAGGCACACAGCTTATTAGAAAGCATATAATGTACATATATGAAGTGCTAGGGGGTGGTTTATTGGATTGTTGTTTTTATTTTGATCATATATTTTCTGGTTTCATATTTTGATTTTGTTCTGTGACAATATATAACAGGGCAATATCTAAATTCAAATAATAATAATAATAGATCCAAACCTTGTTGTTGTTTAGTCATTTAGTCGTGTCCGACTCTTCATGACCCCATGGACCAGAGCACGCCAGGCACTCCTGTCTTCCACTGCCTCCCGCAGTTTGGTCAAACTCATGTTGGTAGCTTCGAGAACACTGTTCAGCCATCTCGTCCTCTGTCGTCCCCTTCTCCTTATGCCCTCAATCTTTCCCAACATCAGGGTCTTTTCCAGGGAGTCTTCTCTTCTCATGAGGTGGCCAAAGTATTGGAGTCTCAGCTTCACGATCTGTCCTTCCAGTGAGCACTCAGGGCTGATTTCCTTAAGAATGGAGAGGTTTGATCTTCTTGCAGTCCATGGGACTCTCAAGAGTCTCCTCCGGCACCATAATTCAAAAGCATCAATTCTTCAGCAATCAGCCTTCTTTATGGTCCAGCTCTCACTTCCATACATCACTACTGGGAAAACCATAGCTTCAACTATACGGACCTTTGTTGGTAAGGTGATGTCTCTGCTTTTTAAAATGCTGTCTAGGTTTGTCATCACTTTTCTCCCAAGGAGCAGGTGTCTTTTAATTTTGTGCCTGCTGTCACCATCTGCAGTGATCATGGAGGCCAAGAAAGTAAAATCTCTCACTGCCTCCATTGCTTCCCCTTCTGTTTGCCAGGAGGTGATGGGACCAGTGGCCATAATCTTAGTTTTTTGATGTTGAGCTTCAGGCCATATTTTGCACTCTCCTCTTTCACCCTCATTAAGAGGTTCTTTCATTCCTCCTCACTTTCTGCCATCAAAGTTGAGTCATCTGCATATCTGAGGTTGTTGATATTTCTTCCGGCAATCTTTATTCCGGTTCGGGATTCATCCAGTCCAGCCTTTCACATAATGAATTCTGCATATAAGTTTGGGAAACAATATACAGCGTTGTCGTACTTCTTTCCCAATTTTGAACCAATCAGTTTTTCCATATCCAATTTTAACTGTAGCTTTTTGTCCCACATAGAGATTTCTCAGGAGACAGATGAGGTGATCAGGCACTCCCATTTCTTTAAGAACTTGCCATAGTTTGCTGTCGTCGACACAGTCAAAGGCTTTTGTATAGTTAATGATGCAGTAGTAGATGTTTTTCTGGAACTCTCTAGCTTTCTCCATAATCCAGTGCATGTTTGCAATTTGGTCTCTGGTTCCTCTGCCCCTTTGAAATCCAGCTTGCACTTCTGGGAGTTTTTGGTCCACATACTGCTTAAGCCTGCTTTGTAGAATTTTAAGCATAACTTTGCTAGCGTGTGAAATGAGTGCAATTGTGCGGTAGTTGGAGCATTCTTTGGCACTTCCCTTCTTTGGGATTGGGATGTACACTGATCTTCTCCAGTCCTCTGGCCACTGCTGAGTTTTCCAAACTTGCTGGCATATTGAGTGTAACACCTTAACAGCATCATCTTTTAAAATTTTAAATAGTTCAGCTGGAATATCATCACTTCCACTGGCCTTGTTATTAGCAGTGCTTTCTAAGGCCCATTTGCCTTTACTCTCCAGGATGTCTGGCTCAAGGTCAGCAACCACACTGCCTGGGGTGTATGAGACATCCGTATCTTTATGGTATAATTCCTCTGTGTATTCTTGCCACCTCTTCTTGATGTCTTCAAAAAGATTTCATATCTCCAATTTTCTCCAATTTTCTTGAACAGATCTCTGGTTTTCCCCATTCTATTGTTTTCCTCTATTTCTTTGCATTGCTCATTTAAGAAGGCCCTCTTGTCTCTCCTTGCTGTTCTTTGGAAATCTGTATTCAATTTCCTGTATCTTTCACTATCTCCCTCGCATTTTGCTTGCCTTCTCTCCTCCGCTATTTGTAAGGCCTCGTTGGACAGCCACTTTGCTTTCCTGCATTTCCTTTTCATTGGGATGGTTTTCTTTGCTGCCTCCTGTATAATGTTACAAGCCTCCGTCCTTAGTTCTTCAGGCACTCTGTCCACCAAATCTAAATCCATAAAACTGTTCCTCACTTCTGTGTATTCATAAGGGATTTGATTTAGATTGTATCTTACTGGCCCAGTGGTTCTCCCTACCTTTCTTCAGTTTAAGTTTGAATTTTGCTATAAGAAGCTGATGATCTGAGCCACAGTCAGCTCCAGGTCTTGTTTTTGCTGACTGTATACAGTGGTACCTTGGGTTAAGTACTTAATTCGTTCCGGAGGTCCGTTCTTAACCTGAAACTGTTCTTAACCTGAAGCACCACTTTACCTAATGGGGCCTCCCACTGCTGCTGCGCTGCCGGAGCACGATTTCTGTTCTCATCCTAAAGCAAAGTTCTTAACCCGAGGTACTATTTCTGGGTTAGCGGAGTCTGTAACCTGAAGCGTATGTAACCTGAAGCGGATGTAACCCGAGGTACCACTGTAGAGCTTTTCCATCTTTGGCTGCAGAGAATATAATCAATCTGATTTCGATACTGCCCATCTGGTGATGTCCATGTGTAGAGTCGTCTCTTGTGTTGTTGGAAAAGTGTGTTTGTGATGACCAGCTTGTTCTCTTGACAGAACTCTTGACAGAGCCTTTGCCCTGCTTTGTTTTGAATTCCAAGGCCAAACTTGCCAGTTGTTCCTTTTATCTCTTGACTCCCTACTTTAGCATTCCAATCCCCTATAATGAGAAGAACATCCTTCTTTGGTGTCATTTCTAGAAGGTGTTGTAAGTCTTCATAGAACTGGTCAATTTCAGTTTCTTCAGCACCGGTAGTTGTTGCACAAACTTGGATTACTGTGGTGTTAAAAGGTTTGCCTTGGATTCATATCAAGATCATTCTATCATTTTTGAGATTGCATCCCTGTACAGCTTTTGCCATTCCAAACCTTACTTTTATCTAAAGGAGAGGTGGGGAACCTGTGGCCTTACACATGTTGTTGGACCACTGACACCGGCCAGAATGACCAATGGGTAGGGATGCTGGGCATTGAAGTCTAGCAACATCTGGAAGAAAGCAGGTTCCCCACTGCCGAAAGGATCTCAGAAGACAAGATTTGTAAAGGTCTCCATCTGAAGTCCAGATGCAAAAATGTCATTCAGGCTAGAGATTGCCACTGGCATCTCCAGGAGTGTCATTTCACACATTCGGTGTAAACCTGAAGATTTTAAAGGTGGATGCCATAGATGTTTGCAAAGGCACTTGTAATATGAGAAACCTCTCTCAGCTACCACTGATGCTAATTATATAAATAATAATAATAATAATAATAATAATAATAATAATAATAATAAATTATTTATACCCCGCCCTCCCCGGCCAGAACCGGGCTCAGGGCGGCTAACAGCAATAGAATTACAATAAAACATAAAAGAAAAAGAAAAAGAAAAAACAGTTAATTAAAATACAGGTTAAAATACTTTAAAATACAGCCTCATTTTAGTAGTAGCCCCATAAATCAAAACCATAAGGGGAAGGAAACATAAGGGTCAGACTGTATCCAAACCCAAGGCCAGGTGGAACAGCTCCGTCTTGCAGACCCTGCGGAAAGATGTCAAATCCCGCAGGGCCTTGGTCTCTTGTGACAGAGCGTTCCACCAAGTCGGGGCCAGTACCGAAAAGGCCCTGGCCCTAGTTGAGACCAATCTAACCACCTTGCAGCTTGGGACCTCCAAAGTGTTGTTATTTATGGACCTTAAGGTCCTCTGCAGGGCATACCGTACCCATGGCCTTGGTGTACATGGCACCTGACAGCATTAAAGTGGAGGTGCAACTACTTGCATGAATGAACAAGTCCTCTATTTAAATTGTCCAGGATGCAAAGAACCACTTTAGCTTTAGCAACAAGGGCTTTGGGTTTAGGTTTCTATCCTTTGAACAGCTAGCTACTTGCATCACTCTCTCTCACACACAAGGTTGGAAATGATGTATGTCTCTATATCTTCCATGCCCAGAATTATACTCCTGTTCTATGAAGGACCTCGTGCATTTTCTTGGAAACCCATTGGGCTGAGTCCTAGAATGAAGGAAGTTACTGTTTGTTCTTGCTAGTCCATTGGGTTTGGGACATGCTGTGCCAGTCTTCTTCCGAACGGTGCCAAGATGAGTCCGTTGAAGGTCACTGCAGCCTGCAGCCCCAACTGACGAAGATTGGATATCCCTGTTTGTAAAAATAGAGGTGTTATCCAAAATCGTCTTGGCCTGTGCCCAAGCTTGGCAATTACACGTATTCTTCTCTCAACTTAAAATCACCTTACGCCCGCCCAGTGGGATTGCATTCTTTCCCACTTCCCCTCCCACAAACCGAGTGTGCCGTGTGCGGCTGCCAGTTGCTAAACAACTGCCATGTTTGGCAGACCCGCGAAACGAGATCCCAAGTCTTGTTGGAGCAGAAGGGCAAGTCTGAGGAGGACAAGGAGCCTATTGATTGAAAACAGAGGCAACAGGCAGCGTGCAACTCCTGTAGCGTTTAAAATTTAAAAAATTAAAAAATTAGTTTGCATTTTGCAGACTCCAGTTAGGACAGGTGAATGAATAAAGAGTCACCCACAGCACACAACAAGTCCTAAGTGATGGTGCCACTGTTGTTCTTTTTCACATCCAGATTTTGCAGCCACAGTGGATGCAATAGTGTCTTTAGCTCACAGTATTGTTTTTCGACCCCATCTGTACATTTAAAGCAGTATTTTGTCGCTATTCCCCACCTCAGCTATAAATTTCCTGACATTCTATTGATTCATCTCACAGCCAGCCTGATGTAAGCAGAATGGAGGAAAGCCAGAGAACCCAACAGGCTTCTTTCCAAGATTGTATACTGCAGAAACACCAGGAGAGGCTGAAAAAGAATATGGTGAGTGTGGGACAGGTGATATAATGGACATCTGTGACTCACAAATATTTCCCAAGGAGAAAGTCCCCCAAAGTGGGAAGCTATCCTGCACTTCCCTCTCCCTCCTCCTGCCAACCTCCGGCATCTATACTATTCTGGATTGCATTAGGAAGGAGTGGAAAGGTTAAATGTCATTCATTCTACACACAGCTGACTAGAGCTCAAGCATTTATTTATAGGAACTTGGATCCCAGGGGGTCAAAGGAAATGGAGAGAAGCACCTCATGCA